TAAGATAAAAGAATAGTACTTTCCCTAAGCCCTAATGATTATTTTATCTTCAATATTATAAGGGTTATCCACTACTTTTCCTCTTTTTTAAAATTTCGCACACTGACCTAAGCAGTGTAATCTTTCCTTTAAAAGTTCTTAATTCCCTGTAAATATCTTAAGTAATAAACCAGTCATGGTTTGTGAGTCATGCTAATGTCTCATATCTTTTCTTCCAAACTCACAGAATTGAAATATTCTTTAAAAGTTCTAGTTACTAGCAAAATATGTGAACAGTCAAAGACCTAACAAAAATGACTGAATCATATGCAGAAGAGTCTGTCATAAAGGATTAGCTCTGTGTCAGATCTTAAGTAAAAAGAGTAATAACTGCCTCAACATGTTAAAATTAAAAGCAAACAAGCAGGAAAGGGGTAAATAAATAGGAGGGAAGTAAAAAAATTAAACAATGAAAACAGGTCCAGGCGACACTGCTGAGTTTCAGAACTTGTGTTAGGTTACCCATCACACAGTGTAATAAGAATGAGACCAAATGATGTTTCTTCAACTTTGAAAGGGCAAAGAAACCTCAATTCTCCAGAAACCAAAATGAAAGACTCATACTGTATTATCTTTTAAAAGCTAATGAAATGAACAACTACATAAATCATTTTTTCCTTTTGATCTTATAAACATCATTCTTTACAGATTCAAATGAGTGACTTATCAATGAGTCTCAGTCCTAATGGGCCCAAACCTAACCCAATATTTATAACTGGGGTCCAGCACTAGGGTAACCACTGAGACTGAGATTCAGTTATGATGGGTTTAGTCCCAATGGGCTTTGATCCTTATAGACCCAATCCTAATGGTCCCTTGTCCTAATGATTGGGTTATACTGTCAAAACCAATTAGGGACCGAGGACCATATAACCTACACCACACACAACATGGCTCTCACCTGGAAGAGTGCTGGTACATTATCCTTGAAGAGATTAAGAAGATTAATGAGCGCCAGAGCTGCATCTGCTGAAATGTCCTCCAAGCTCACAACGCGTGTCACCACCTCCTCCACTACTGACCCCACCAATGTGCCTGTCAAAGAGACAGTTGGTCACTTCTGGAAGCCTCACCCTGCCACGATGGCACCAGGAGGCCACAATCAAAAGTAGAATCTTTATAGCATTATTTTTTCTTAATTTTACCTTTAAAATCAGCTGCTTAGACACTTAAAAAGAAAGTAAATTATTATCCATACCCAATCTAATATTTTATTCTTTCAACCACAATATGCATTTGAATATACAAGTTATAAATAACAGAAGAGTAATATGGACAAAATCATATGACAATTTAAATGTTGCACAAAATGATCAATGGTATCAAAATCCTGGCAAAAGTCTTGAAAAACACACCTGAATATACTTACCCATGGCTTTTGTGTATACAGTATGGGGGAGTACATCCTGCCACACCCTACGTAATAATTGAAGCTGGTGAAGGACCTGTCGCATACCCTGCTGTGCTTTATTTACTCCACTAGTGTCACATCCAATAGTGTCTAAGCCTGTGGTACAAGACGTTATAAAGTAATTACATTCGTATAGTCAAAAAAAGCAACCAAGATAACATCTAATCTCCTTTTTATACAAAATAGACATTACAGTACTATATACTGAAAAGGCCTCATATACTGTACTGTACAAGACAAAAATATTAACAGTTCAACTTGACAAAATTTTAGACTTGAATCCTATGGCATATCTTCCTATACAGATACATTCTCCAACACCATGAGAATTCTCTTACTTATTATATGAAAACAATTACTTATCTTTTCAGTTCTGTACCCACACTACAGCTACCAAAATATAAAGTATCAGGTGATTGGTATAATGAAGGGCCTCTCATAATGGCTCACCTAGATTAGACTGAGATCCATTTGACTTGAAAAACTAGACATAAAAGATGGTCAAGTCATAAAATACACTGGATTTCAAACTAATCTTTAACAGACCAACACAGAACACTAACCAGCAGAGTCTCTGAGGGAGTCAATAAGGGTTGTACGGTGTCCCTGCATAGCTTTTAAAAATGTGGCAGTTGCCATCTTTCGAAGTTGTTGGGCCAAATCAACAGTGGTAAGTGTGTTATCTCTGAGTGCCTGTGGTAGTCGATTTTTGTATTGGAGTCCCAACAGGAGTGCATGATGAGCAAGGTACATACTGTTATTGTGCACTACCGCTGCAAAGAAAAAAGAACAAAATTAATTTTTATGTGTAGTTAATTCCCCTTCCCTCCCCCCCTCAAGTGCTCTACCTTACCAGTGTTGGGTGGCTGAAATAGTGTGCAACAGACTCTCTTGTCAATCAACATCATTTATCTCTCTAAATAACTCATTATCAGTGTTCTGCTATGAATTTAACTACAGGTATTAGGAAAAAATAAAAGGAAACAAATTAACACATTTAAGTTTTAGAGAATGATAAAAAAAAATCACACATTTAACAAATACGCACATGAATATTATACTCTTAATTTAATTGGTGTTCACTACAATATCTTTCGTCTATATCTTTGACACCATGCTCTTGAACTCCCCTTGCTTAAGGAATTGGCTTCATTGTACACAGTCCTCCCAAGAATTTAAGTTAACTTCAAGTATAGTCATAGTGAGTGAACTGTATAAAAGTCATTTATAGGCTCATTCTAGCATATCTTAGGTAAGTTGTATGATCATGACTTAATGATATCTACTCAATATGCCTTACTATTTCTAGCTAATTCTTACTTTACATCTTACTTGAAATACATGCTGAGGAATGCACGCATAAGTGGAAACCTACATTAAGCAAAGCATCAAAAGAGAACAGGTAAAGTGATGGGAAAATTGGTCTCACTGAAGGATACTGTGAGCCTAGGAATGTGTGGCAGATCACAAGTCGGACTACTGTACAATGTCACTGGAACCAAATGAAAAAAAAATATAAAATAATAAGAAAAAAGGTTACTGTACTTCTTTTAGCCAAGAGTAGCATTTTCAGAGGACTGCATCTAACCAGCTAAATGATAATAATAAAAGATAATAAATTTTGTTGGACAGCATCAAGTATGCAAACACATGACAAATAACCAAGTGAGTGTGTAGCATTAGTGTTAATTAGACTATTCTTTAAGGAGCTTCAGAAGCCATTACATGAAACATCTTCCTTCTGATATTCCTTTTCCAACTTTATTGCATCCAAATCCACCAAAATCAACCCATCTAACGTGTAATACCCCTTTATTTTTTTTATTAATACTAAGGTTTTCTTACTATACAGCAGGTGGCCCACAATCAAGAACAAAAACACGCTCTTTTCACTCGCCTTCATCCATTCACTCTACCTAATGTGACATACCCAGAAACCCTTGGATGTCCTCCTCCCTTATTACTCCTGTACTCTGCTGCTTCTAGGATTGTCCATCCCCTAATCTGTCATCCTACTTTCTCCCCATTCTTTCATCTCTTTGCTGGACTTCCTTCACCCTTCTACCATTCAATTCTGATTTTTTTTATTTTTCTAATGAATATCTCACTTCCCATTCTATCAATATCTCCATATCATCTCAGCAAACCCTGGTCAGACTCTGTCCATCACTTCTTTAATTTCCATTTATCCATGTAACAGTTAAATTTCTTATTATTTGCAACCTCCCTTGTACAGTAGTAGTGTCAAGTCAACAATTCCTCTACACATCCCTCTTATTTTTCTTTTCCTCTGCTACTCTACGATTTAATTTGTTAACAACAAAAATAGTACATCTAATAAAAGTTACTTGCCTGCTTGTTGTGGCAACGTAGCAAGTTCGTGGGCATGGGACGTGGGTACTACGTGGCAGTAGAGCGTCAGGATGTTGCGAACAGTATAGAATAGTCTTCCAGCATATTGGGGTGAACTGGTACATGCTTCATCCATTGTTTTATATATCAATTCCACTAACTCACAAACAGATGCACTGGTTCAAGAGAAGTGTATTAAAATTTTGGACGTGCTGGTACTTACTTTTAAGAATAAAAACAAATAACTGAATAAAAAATATACTGCTGAGTTAGAGACATCAAGTTATACTATGTTCTTCTCAGTTTTTCTTCTTAATGTTTCACTGCCAATATTAGTGAATGAAACTACCCCTAAGATCATATATATTTAAACACAAGCTGATGAGGCCCTATGTACAATACACATGGACTACATGCCTAAACCTCAACATTCTATTAGAAAGTCTACTCCCTCCTGTATTGAATATCAGCAACAGATCAATTATCACAACTTCAGTGGCTATGTTATATATTATAAGCTTGAGTATGATTTAATTGAAGTGACTAAACTCACATTATAAAATATATTTATTAAATTCGAAATCTGAGTAATATAATAAGCCTATAATTTAACAAGTATTTATGATCTTGAGAAACCTGTCTTAATTAAATCTGTGAAAATAAAACTTAACTTTGTGGAATATAGGAGAATGTATTCCTGGATCCATTAAAAAATACTCACCTTTTGCTTGATAGTACAGTATCACTAAAAAGGTTTACATATACAGAAGAACCTCTATACACCAGGTTTTTTTTATCCAAACTCTGAGGTGCTCTGGATCGCCCCTCTATTCTCCAGAAATATTATTAAAAAGAGTGGAAAATCCAGCATCAGTCTGGACAGTCTGTGTGTTCATACGTGCAGTCTGTACTTGGGTATCACACTGCAGATGTCTCATTCTGAGTCCTGCATCAGGTTTATTTATTGTTTCAGTATTATATTGTTGTATGGTCAGCCTCTTATGGTGTATGATTCATCATAATTATTATAACAACTTCAATAATAGAAAAAATACAATATGTAATTTGACTTGAAAATAAAAGGATAAGATAATTATTGGAAAGTTCAGTATTCACTTAGGATACATTCGTGAGAGCGCCTTCAGCAAATCAACTTACAACAGGGTGACTATAACATACTGTATAGTATTTGATATGGAATTACCTTCCTAACAACATTATTTATTACCTTTGAGTGATGCATGATGGCTTGAATTGGCTACTTGTCCACTGAGACAACTGAATAATAAATAAACCTGGGAATATGCAGATGCACAACGGGAAAATCCATGAATATACTTATATACATATACAGTATATATATATATATATATATATATATATATATATATATATATATATATATATATATATATATATATATATATATATATATATATATATATATATATATATATATATATATATATATACAGTTTTACCCCGCTTAACGCGCTTTCACTTAACGCGTTTTCGCATATACGCGGTGCCTTGCCAAAGCTGAACTTTCACTTAACGCGGGTTTTTCCACAGCTACGCGGTGAGTGTCCGGCTCGGATGCTATTTTTAGATTTTGACCACGCGCCACCCACCCGCCCGCCTGCCTGCCTGCCTCTCCCTCCTCCTCCCTCCGCTTGGGTAAGCGGCGCGGTAAGGTTGCGCAGTGTGTGTCTTTGTTGCGTTATCACTGACGTCATATGACGTCTCGGACTGTGATTGGCCATGCAGCCCTACCCCCCTCTGCTGCTAGCTGTAATTGGCTTAAAGTATTATGACGTGACTACCCCGGGGAGGGAGGGAGGGAGGAGAGACGACGCTTGACCTAGCCGCGGCAGTTTCATCCCTCAAGGCCACGCCGGGTTAACGCGCATCCATTGTTCCGTAAAATGGCTTCCGCCGGACCACCACCCCCAGAGAGAAACCTTTCCTTACCTGGACCCAGCGGCACTAAACCAAAGAAGACACGACGTTCATTAAGCTACGAGCTGAAGTACCAAATTGTTCAAGATTTGGAGAAAGGAAGACGCCAAGTTGATCTCGCGCGCCAGCATGGCGTCAACGAATCTACGATTCGTACAATAAAGAAGGATGCAGCCAAGATAAAGGAGCACATGAAGATCACAAAGTCTGCAGGTGCTTCATCTATCAGGTATTGCCAGAACAGGGTGCTGGCAAAAGTGGAAACTTTGCTGGTGAGTTATTTGGTGCGTCAGGCGCGACGCAACATGGCGGTGGACACGCGCTCAGTGCAGGAGTACGCACGTGAGCTATACGCAGCAGTGACACGTAAACTGGGAATTGCAGAGCCCAAACCCTTCAATGCTTCCCATGGTTGGCTGCATAGGTTTAAGAGGAGGAACAAGGTCACCAACATCAGCATTGTTGGTGAGGAAGCGAGTGCTGACCGTGCGGCGGCTAGAGATTTTCCTCCGTTTTTACGTGAGATTATGGAGGAAGGACAGTACAGTGACGACCAGGTGTTTAACATGGACGAATCTGGTCTTTTCTGGAAAAAGTTACCTTCCAAGACCTTCGTTGTCCAGTCTGCGAGCAAGGTAAGGGGCCGGAAGATGCAGAAGGAACGCATCACCGTCCTGTTTACCACCAATGCCTCCGGTACCTGTAAACCAAAGTTATCGGTGATTCACAAAGCCCGCAAGCCGCACGCCTACAAGAATATGGACATGAACAAGCTTAATGTCCACTGGCTAACCGCACGTAAGGCGTGGATGTCCTCTTCTCTGTCCCTCTTCTGGTTTGACAACTGTTTTGTTCCTGACGTGCAGAAATTCTGCGAGCAACAGAATGTTCCTTTCAATATTTTGTTGCTCCTTGACAACGCACCTGGACACTCGCCCCTACTTATGGATCGTCACCCCAACGTAAAAGTGGTCTTCCTTCCTCCCAACACTACGTCATTAATCCAGCCCATGGACCAGGAGTTAATCTGCAATGTTAAAGCTGCATACTCGGCAAAGAAATTCAAGCTCCTGAACGACTCTACCAACACCAAGGATGAGTTGCGTAAGCTGGGTGACACCGACAGCGAGAGTAAAAGCGACGAGGACAAGGAACAAGAGGCGGCGACTCAAGAACTTCTCGTCAAACAATTTTGGAAGAAGTTTAACGCCAAACAAGCTGTAGACTTCTTGGTGGAGGCATGGGATCTGCTGTCTATTGCTACGATTCGTCACGCATGGAGACATGTGTTGCATGGCATACCAGGTGAGAGGAGGAGTGAACCTGTGACTGGTCAGGTTCAGACTGTTGCAGTAGCAGTGGACCTTGCCAGAGAAGCTGCGCTCAGTATTACAGCTGAAGGCTTCTCCGAGACCACCAACGAAGACATCATGGAGGTGATCAGAGATCCTGAAGTGACTGCCGACGAGATGTTGGAAGAAGAACCCGCCAGTGAAGAGGAGGAAGAAGGTGCGTCATTCTCCGAAGAACCTAGTTTAAGTCATAGTGATATTAAGTGTGTCATAGAGTTAACAGAAAAAATTAAGTCCATCGTTTCCCGCGACACTGACGATGAACGCCATGACGTCTTCCATACCCGACTGGTGCAGGCTATGGAGCCGTACATCACGGTGTATCATGACAACATCAAAGCCAGCCGTCAGCAAAGCATAACCGAGTTCTTCGCCCGCAACCCACCACAGCCAGCCCAAGCCAGTGATAGTGATAGTGAAGTTGATTTTGAGGGATTTGTCAGGGAAGCCATAACAACTGTAAGTGACAGTGATATTGATTCACCTAGTAATGGTGATTCACCTAGTAATGGTGATTCACCTAGTAATGGTGATTCACCTGAGGGGCAGTAATCTGCCCTCTGCCTCGGAACCAGCCTCCATCCCCGTATGCCGACCCATCTCTTCTACTACCGTGAGTGTTCCTCAAAAATTTTCGTTTTTTAACCTATTCTTTATTTTTCCTATGTTAACCTTTATCTTTCCTAACCTAACCTCTTCTATATTACTTGTTTTTCATGCCACCATAAAGTTAAGATAGAATTTTTACTACAACATAGTTATTTGTCGTCAAAAAGTGGAGTTTGGGGGTCGGGCTGGGTTCTATTGGAATTAATCCCATATGTTCTGTTATTCACTTAACGCGGTTTTCACTTAACGCGGGACCCTCTGGGTTCAATTGACCGCGTTAAGTGGGGTACAACTGTATTTGAATATGTGAAAGTACAGTAATATTATAATGGTACACAAACTATTTAATATATATATATATATATATATATATATATATATATATATATATATATATATATATATATATATATATATATATATATATATATATATATATATATATATATATGGAATTCTTTGAAAAGAAACTATTAAGTAATATTTTACTACCCTCAGCAGTCTGGTTTAGATATGTTGATGATGTATTATGTCTCTGGCCATGTAATGAGGACCTAAAAGCTTTCCTGCCACAACTTAACAACTTAGCCCCCTCGATCAAATTCACTGTGGAATTAGAGCAAGACTGTAAATTGCCATTCCTAGACTGTCTGATACACAGAATAGGTAACACTTATAAGTTCAGTATATATAGAAAACCAACTAATGTGTGTTCATACATTCATTATTATTTTGCCCACCATAATAAAGTCAAACAGTCAGTATTTTCAACAATGTTTTTACGTGCCTTGAGAATTTGCAGTCCGGAATTCATCGATGAGGAATACAAATATATATATAATATTGGCTCAAACCTTAAATACCCTAGATCTTTCATAGACAAATGCTTAAACATTACTAAGAAAACTTTTTATAGAACTGACCCCAAGCCCACCCATGACCATAAGAATATCTTAATATTACCATTTCACAAAAATTTCTCAAACATTCCTGCACAGCTAAAAACCTGGAACGTCAATGTGGCATTTAAAAACTCATGCACTGTTAAACAAATGTTAATCAAGAACTCCCCTAACAATACAGGTGGCTGCATTTATAA